ATGTTCTTAGGCTTGTACTCTTTATGACAAAATCTCTAGAGGGTCCCAAGGATACATTGAACTGGATTTGCATTTTGGCCTAGTGGATTGAAGGTACAAATTCGATTCTTAGAGCATATTACTACTATTATCTCCTTCGACATCCTTCTTTTCAATCTATTTGTTTCTTACAGGCAAGACGAATTAAGAAATACATTGTTTCCTGATCCTATACTCACTTACAGGCTTTACTCTGTCTGGATTTTCCTCACTCGCCACATTATCTCTTCTCCATCATCCCGTAAACTTATGAGATACTGCTCCTCACTCACTTCTGTATTTCTTTGTTTATTCTGCCTTTATTGGAAGCGTACTATTTGCCCTTTGCAAAATTCGAGTGCAAATCGTGGTTTGTTTAAGATTTGTATTTTGCCAATAGCCAGAGGATACCTGTTAGAACAGGGATTAAAAATGTACATGCGTGTCTTCATGCTGTGGCAGAAATGCAAGGATCTGAAGATACACAAGTAGAGAGAGCAACTGTAGACCTGAGACTGTGCAGGGGATGAAGGCAGGAGAGGGACTCTGAAGAAAATGTTCATCAGACACAGGCATGCATGTGGACAAGGCAAATAGATTATGGAATGGTATACCACAGCAAAGTAAGAAAAAGTGTGTGTCTGTGTGTGTGTGTGTGTGTGTGTGTGTGTGTATGTGTATTGTCAGAAAAGCCATGATTTTTTTTCTTGCAAAAATGTGTCATGACTTTTCCGAAAACCCATATATATATATATGTACACACACACACACACACACACACATTTCAAAGAAAGCACTAATAGAATAAAAGCCAAAGGTGCACAACATAATATAATACTCTTTTTGGAAAGTGATGAATATGTTAATATCCTTGGTTTGATTATCACATAGTGCATGCATGCTTTAAAAAACTGTATTGTACTCCACAAAGATGTGCAACAATTAAATGTAAATAAGAAATTATAAAATAAAATAAAAAGAATACACACACACATGTGCATACCAACATATATGCCTGTAGGGGGAAGATGGTTAGCAACGAACAGTGAAGGGTAAGGAGATCGAGTGCAATAGAGAGTGGCGGGGACTGTGGCTCATGGAGTACATCCAGCCAGGCAGCTTGGCAGGCAGCTTGACAGCTCCAGTCCCTTTTAGCCATATGGAGTGTGATTCCAGAGTGCCCATATCTGATTTTTCAAGAAACTCTGAAAAGCCAGTTTTTACATGAAATCACCTGTTGGTTTCTATTTCTGGTTTTTAAGAAACATTGTACTCATCAAACAGAATGTTGCCTGCATGTTAAGCTTGTGACTAGCCCTTCATTTCCTCTGATTTTGTGAGACAAAATCTAAGAGGCACACTGCATGGAAACCTGATTTCCACTTCTGGTTTTTCTTTTCTTTTCTCTCTTTTTTAATTTGCTAGAGAGCATGTGCATTCACCAGAAAGACAGAGAAAGAGAGAGAAAGTGAAAAAGTTCTCCCATGGGGGATGATCATGCTGCAATTCCTCTTCTACTTTCCTCTCAGGATTTTGGCACATACACACACATGCCCAAGTGTTTTTCAAGCCATAATGTCTCGGACTCAAACTGTACAATCAGCCCTGTGGGATCCAGCCGCCTTAATCACTATGCCATTGTCACGTACTTTATTTATTTATTTATTTAGTTAGTTTCTTTCTTTTTTTTTTTTTTTTTTTTCTACATAATAGTCATCTGATCTTGAGTCAGTTGCTTTCCTTTCTTTGGACCTCAGCTTTAAAAAAAAACCTCTATATAAAAAGAAAAGGACCAGCCAATCTTGTAAAGCCTCAGTCTGAAAATATATGGTGTGGTGCTGTTTGTATATGTTACTCTGTTTGCGTTATTCTGTCCCTCTTCTCTCTTATCTCCTCTTGGCAGTGAGCAATAGCATGTGTTTGGTCAAAGGGCTTATTAAAAAGAGGCTTCTATAAGGCTGCGTAGAATCACCACAGGCATAACTTTAAAAGTTATGGATTTGAAATTGTAAGAGGACTCAGAGATCTGCCGGTCCACCCCTATAAGGTAGAGGAACGTGCACAAAGGCATGTAGATTTTATTGACTTTCTTATGTTAGGAAGCTCTTTTCTTTCTATATCCATTTGGTAAGTGGTAACAGTAGCTAGGAAGACATAATTCAGCATTACTATGGACTATGTCTTCCCTTCTCAGCAGTAAGATTAAGTCCATAAAAGCAAATAAGATCTTTGATTCCATAAACTATCTGAGTTCCAAATTGGAATGGTCATTGTTCATAGGATATCAGCAAATTAATCTTCGCATGATTCATATTGAGTTAAGATCAGTCTTCTTGATTTTTTTGACATTTAGCTATTATTTACATTAGAAAGTGGTTACTTGAGCTGGTAATTCAGTTCAATAAACATTGCATAAGCTATCTGACTTTTTAAAGATATTTTAAGCTTTAAAAGTAACAGCCCCCTAAAGGGTGCGTGTTCGCTGTGTGCTATGCGATGTAAATTAAGGGTATTTTTCTAGCTACAGCTGAATATGTGTGTTGGTATTTCAGTAAACTGCATAATTAGCACAAAGACCCAGGTCATTGGTGTCTGCTGGCAGGAACAAGAAAACCCAAATAAGGCTGGATCGAAGTGGTCCTTTGAAATCTGATTGTCTGTTGAAGGCAATGCTGGTGAACCACAGTCTCACAGGTAGAAACAAGCAGTTGGTCTCATTCCCCCTAGAAAGCATGAGGCCTTCATCAGCACCTTTCTTGCAAGCAATGTATCCTATGTCTGGCACATCTGATTATGTCACTTTATTTAAAACCAACAAAAAGCCTTCCATTCCACTTAGAATAAACCATAGATTCCTTTGTGGCAAGCTAGAAAGGAACTTGCTCTCACCTGGCTCTTTGACCTCATCACTGTCACTGTTGACTTTGTTTTCAGCTTCAGCCTTCCTGGCTTTATTGCTAAGTCCCCAAATACTCAGAGCTCTTTCCTGCCTCAAAATTGTTGCACTTGATGTTTATGCTCTCTTCTATAAGCCCTTTTCCCATATCCCCTCCTTGCCTGCTCCTTCCCTTGATGCTCGGTGTAGCATTCTCTGCCTCCTCAGAATAATCTTCCTGGACCAACAAAGATGACACACTTCTTCCCAGTGACTCTTTACCCTCTTAGGTTTTATTTTCTGCGTAGTACTTGTCATCATCTGGAAATTCACTTGTATATTTGCTTATTGTGTATCTCTCCCACTACGATAAGAATAAAAGTTTGAATAACAGGGATAATAGCTTCCTCTTAGGGATGTTACGGGGATTATATGGGACTGCCAAGAAAGGACCCACCTCTTGACCAAACACCTCATCCCGTTTATAGTGCTGGCGGTAAATAACTGTCAACTCATTTTGCTATCTATTAGCCCACCAATATTCTATTATCCAAGAAATCCATAAAACATAAGTGATAAATCCCCACTGTAGAAACTTGGAATAGATAATGTCTATAATTTGTTGTTGTTGTTGTTGTTTATGTGAGCTTTCCTTTCTGAGTGTATAAATATATTTTTTCATCTAACTGCATCATGTTGTTTACATTTGTTGATCTTTTATCTCTTTTTAAGTTTTATTTTATTCATGGTAAGGTGTGTGCATATGCACATGAGAAAGAGAGAGAGAAGGGCAGCCTAGACAGAGCCTCATCACACATGAACCCCTTCCTCCAGCTCTCCAGCTCCTCAGAATCATGGGTGCCCATGCATGTACCTGGCATGTTCCGGGTCAGTCTGAGATCTGAAACTGCAGTAGAACATGTTACTTTCAGCACTGCAGTTCAGCTTGCTACTATCTGACCATGGAGGCTGGACCTGATGTCACACCTGATATATTTTTTCAAAAAGTCATTTTGAATGTTACTTAATACCATATTGTTCTGTGTCTTACTTAACGGTGGCTGTATTAATGGACATTTAAGTTGCTTTTAATTTTTCTTATCTGTATAAATAACACTACTCTGAACATCTTTATATTTAAATATTTTCTGTACTTGTTATTTTCTTAGAATTAAAACACAGTAAGTAGGGATCATTTGCACATTGAGCTCTTCTGCATCAGTGTGTCCTTTCACTATGCATTATGGGACATTCTAAACAAGTCCAAAACTCTTCAAGAGGTTGCTGTGGTTGAGGACACAGAGTTTAGACATATGATACAATAGGGAGCATTACTAACAGCCAGTGTAACCTTGACTAAAGGATGAATGATGTCTGAGAATAGAAAGTCAGAGGGCAGCAGTAGCTAGAGAAGACCTACATGGAAGGGTAGATTTGACAGGACCTGGGAGAAGGGTCAAGAGGACAGGAGAAGACGTTCTTGGGGTGGAACTGCATGGGTGAAGGCACAGAGGCAGGAGCAAGCCAGCCTCAAGGCAGTCTGGTCTGTGATCGAGAGCACCAGGCAGATGAGGTGAGACAGCTTGCGTGGAGCCAGGAGTGACAATGCCATAGTCATGTGCTGGGCACTTACACGGAGGCTAAGTATTATTACCATCATTCCAAGCACACAGGGGTCTGCTCGGAACAACAGTATGCGCCATTTGTACAAAAGACCGAAATGGAATCCAAATAACAGGTCCAGCTGCTCCAAATCTCTCCCTCCCCCCTGTAGTTAACATTTTACTACCCAGCCGAGTAACTAATGAATCTGGCCCAGCGTAAATCTCCAGGCACACATCCCTGCTTGGGGTCTGTGTCTAGACATCCAGACCAGAGTGCAATTTGCACTTTGAACATCCAGCTCCTCATCACTTGTGAGAAATCAGGCTTAATGGGGAAGATGGGAGCTGTAGCTTGTACTCCCTCCCTTTGGCACAGGAGTGGTGGAGTAAGGATCCCCTTGGATAATGACTGCATTAGGAGACTGAAAGGTTATAGCAGTGTTTGTTGTGTGGCTCTGGTCATTCAGAAGCACTGACTGGAAGGCTTCTCCATCTCATTGCAGGCTGTGTTTTGTGAAGCTCAAGCTCCTAATGATAGCCATTGAGTACAAGTCCGCCAACCGAGAGAGCCGGTAAGTTTGCAGTGACCCAGGGGCTGACTGACATTTTATGGTGGTGAGAATGCACTCTCGGAATGTTCTGTCCACTTCTTCTTTCTTGCGCATTATTGATTTGCTCGGAACCCAAGGTAGCACCTTTCTGACCCCAGCGTACATTTCAAGGCAAACTCAGCCAGGTTCTAACTCAGAGCAGCGTGGCATCCTAAGCCCCACTGGGAATTCAGTGCTTTCCTAGAAGACAGGGACAAGCCATGCAAGTATTTCTACCTGATTATGTCAACCTGGGCTTTTCACTTCCTAAACATAAAACCAGGTGTAGACAATGCCCTGAAACACCTTCCTACCACTGTCAGCAGAAAGCAGGTAGATTTGGACCTCCTTTACAGCAGGCATGGGGTAAAGCCACGATGGGAGACAGCAGCTCTCTTGATAGCCAGATGACAAGCAGCCTATTGTGTACCATATGTGCTGCTCCCGGTGTAACCGAATTCCAGGTGGCAGAGTATCATCCTCATGTAAATTAGCCAGGAGAGTGGAGCTCAGAGGCAGGAACTCCTTTTATTTATTTATTTTTCACTTAATTATGTGCAAATTAGACTGATGGGGGATTGGGTCTGGCTGAAATAGATAACACCCCAGTCAATATATGCGATCACACTGGAAGAGGGGAGCCTCATGCTAACAGGGAGTTTTGTTGATGAGGACTGTACGCATTACAGATAAACTAGAGATGATTTTTGCTCCTGAATTCTTACCAATAACTTTGTAAGAAAGAGAGTGTGTGGAGAGATGCTCAGGCCTTTGTCCTCCTAAGTGGCATCCATAGTCTCTCCTTCCTAGAGTCCATTGTTTGTTTCTGCAGATACCTGGGTGTAGAGTGCAGGTATCTGCCAGCATGTGCGTTAGTAACTAAGCAGAGTACAGAGCAAAACAGGCAGAGGGTTCCTGCCTCATTCCTTAAGGTGTTTACATTATCTGGACCCAGGAAAGTTAGACTTTCACATGTGTAGTCCATGTCTATAAAATATAAAAGCAAGCCAAACACCAACAAACGCTGGACTATAAGCAAGTCAATTCAATGTTTTCTGTTACCTTCACCCCCAGATCAGATTGCTCACAAAGTCAATTTGATCAAATCTGAAGCTATTTTAAAAGTCCAAATCAACCAAAAGGACAATAAATGGTAGATTTGGAGGCCACCTGTAGAACATGGGCGTACTAGTTAGCACATACGTGTAGAGATATACATTTTTATTTTCCATGTTGGCAAAGTGAAGAATATTATTTGAAAAAAAAGAAGGATGTTCTGGCTGTTTGCTCTTAAACATATAAGGTGGAATTTTCTGAGATTCTGTTTGCCTCTATTTTTGCCAATCCTCACCTGTACCCATAGAGGGGAATTGTGTGTCCTGGGTTTTTGCAAATGATGTTTTTCATGTTGGCAAATCAGTAAATATTTTTGTAACTCAGTGTTCTCTATCACCTTTTGCATTTCTCAAAAAAGGGGTCATGATGCGGGTGACACTGATACAGAACGGTGTTTTTCTTTTTTTGTTTTTAGTTTTACTATAGGGTGTGTTTGCTCACCAGAGAGAGGCAGACAGAAAGAGAGAGAGACTGAGAGAAGAAAAGTGATAAATCACCACTTAGAGGGGATTCCTTCCACTCCACTCTCCTCTTGGGATTTTGGTCAGGCATGTGAATGTGTCCGGTGTGTCTTTTAAGCCTCTGGATCTGGGACTTGAATCATGCAGTGGGCCATGTGGGATCCAGCCGCCTTAACCACCATACCACTTGCTGGCCCTGAATAGTATTTTCAACTATTTTGCAATAACTGACCCTTGACCAGTTTTCTCCCATCTGCCACTTTTTGGTCATGAGGAGAGCAAAGTGCTATTAATGATTCAGTATGACTCCACCATCACTAGTCTAAGAAAACAAACTCAGAGCTATCCCTGAAAATAAAATTATGTCTTTGATGGGCCCTCCAATTGCTTCACAAACATGATAGACTATCAACAAAGCCATGCTTACAGTGTTTAGTCTTTTGTTATTTATTTATTGTCAGAAAAGGGCAAACAAAACAAAACAAACTTATTTGGCTTTGTTTGGGCTTTCTGTGTGCAATTGCCAGCTTTAATCCTCAAATGTGGCTTGGTCTCAAGTGTGCAAGCGCATTGGTTCTTGTGGAAAAAGGTGTATTTGAGGGAATGTGGATCATGCCTTAAGAAAACACGGGACTTTTCAAACACCACACCCATATTAAAAATAAACTATCTGTTGCTTCTTTCTGAGATGAAAATCTTAACTTTTCTTTATTTAAAAATTTCCCATCTCTTCCCCTCACATTTTCTAACTGACCAAGTGTTAAAATTTGGAGAACTCTGCTTCTCCTCTGCAACCTCTGGCCCTCAACCTGTGTTTAACTATCCCCTTTGTTGTTAGTTTCTTCCCATGATACTGTTTTCATGCTTTGCTGAAAACCCTTGTTTTCATGTGCATCCTTCAAATGATTTGAAACAAAGGTTTTATTCCTTCTTCCCTTCTGGTGTCAGTCAATTTATTATCAAATTGTTTGATTTTAAATTCTTTTCTTGTCGTTTTGCAGAAGCCGAAAGCGGTATGCTCTCTTCGTTAACTTTCCTTCCAACCTCCACCCTCTATCTTCACTCTAACCACAGGACTAACCATTTGTCTTGAATTCAAGAAGAGAGAGATTATATATATAAATATATAAATATATTTATATATATACATATATAATCTAATTCCCTTGTCTAGTGTATATATATATATATATAATATATAGTGTGTGTGTGTATATATATATATATATGTATATATATATATATATATACATATATACCCCTCTCCAACTAGAATACATAAAAATTGAAAGTAGCTTATTGAGGTTCTTGTTTGATATGTTGATTCTTTTGGATGACGCACTAACTTCTTTGCAGGAAACCTAAAAAAAAAAAAAGAATGAAAGACACAATCCTGTTTTCAGTTATGGCACCAATGATGAGAACAAATACTATTAAAGTAGAAAAGGAGGACACTTTTCTCTAGCCTTTTGTGTCTGTTTCTGTACTGTCCTGATGTGTCTTGGTGTTCACCAGACTCTAATGCCATCCTGTCTATGTATCACATCCACATTCCCAGTGACTGCCTCCTCCCTGTGTTGTGTTTCCAGGTTGTACAGCAGAGTTCATGTCCTTTTATCCACAAAACAGAGACCAAGCCCTTATACTTCTATTTTTCCCTATGCTTATTTTGGTGATAATATTTTGAGTGTTTTATTTCTTGGGCAGTGCTCAGTAAAGATTTAGAACACTCCTACTAAGTTACCAGATTATCAACTTGAATTACTGAATGAGTATTGTTTATTGGGACAATCTCATGGCTGTTTCCCCTAGCGTTTGGACATATTCTTAATATAAAGGAGCGCCACTTTCACCATGTGACTTCACCCTGTTTTGCTATTGTTTTATGTTGCATGAAGCATGACTAAATCATCATCAATGACTTTTTTTTTTAAACTTTTTGGGTTAATATTTCCAGCTTAGTTTTTCAATAATGTGTTTTCTAGGAGAGTATTGTTGAAAACGTTCTATTGAGATGCCGACTTGTTCGTCTTTTCAAGATTTACTTTTCTCTGTAGTTGTAATCACTGTCATGTGTTTGTGTTTGTAATTGTATATATGTGTGCGTGTGTAGGTGTGTGTGTGTGTGTGTGTGTGTATTTGTCTGGAACTCTTTCCAAAGTCAGATCTGTGATTCTTTTGAGTAGATGTGTATAAATAGAGGTGGCTTCCTGTCAGTTTGGTATTATTGATATGATCCAACTGCAAGAAGTTACTGCAACACTTTGCATCTTCAAAGGTCCACAGTGGTTGCACCTCTGCTGTTGACTTTTGGCTTTTGACTCCCTTATATTGTGGTGAAGGCATGTTGTGATGTAGGCATGACTTGTTCTAAAGTGTACCAGAAAATGATGTGGCTTGCTCCCAGAACAAAGTGCCTAGCGTTATCCTTCTCTAATTATGTCTTTCCCATTCCATGTAGCTAATATTTTCTGTATATGCAAAATATAGTTTCAAGTGCCCTTTCTAAAATTACTGAGCTGATTCATGCCAAACGAGCCCTTGCTGATATTATTGGCAGACCACAGTGGTGGTCACTTGAGTCTGACCACTGGGAGCAATCTTAATTATGCTGTCTCTGTGTAAGTGAACTGGACATAAGCTTATTGAAGCATGATTACACAACTGTGTGTGCTACATATATGTAAAAGTAAGGGTGTGTGAGTCTAGTTCTGTAGGACTCCAGCAGCATATATTTTGAAGCCCAGAAAAAGTGAAAAGTCCTAGAAAGGTGCTCAGATTTGAGATCTGGGGTCTCCTTGAGCTGTGTTTTAACAGCCCACAAACTACAGCGCAGCTGTACTCCCTGAGAGGGGTCACGATTTCTTCAAAGTCCTTATAGTGATTGTATGTGAAATTGTGTGACTAAAGAGGCCTCGTCCCAGTGGTGTGATTTGTCTGGGCACAGCATGAACTGAAGTCCTGGATGGTTCTTATTTGCTTGCTCTGGTTAATGAATTCTCATCAGCTTGCCAAACACAAATATAATGACTATGTTATCAAGTACAAATTATATTCTTATATGAGTTGTGATTTTAATTGTCTGAGGAATGGTACATTGCACCCACCAAAAAATGAAGGGGGAAGAGGAAAAATACACACCTATGTTTATCCAAAATAGGTAAAAGTGTCCTTTAAAACAGTATCTCTTTTGTTTAAATTACCAATCACTGATCATCTCCCAAAATAACAAGCAAGTAAAGTTTGTGATGATTGAGGAAGAGATCACTAGATGTTTCCCAGTTGTTTTGCACAAGTGGGGAAAGGGAATAAGTCATCCTCTCCCACCCCTGGACACTTCCCAATCCTCCAACCTGACCAGGGTTTAACAGGAGATAACCCAGCGAAATGCCATGCATCTTGGGA